TCTTTGCTGCTCGCCCGGTTTAGAAGCAAATCTCGGGGGCTGCGGAGAGAATTCATTTTTTCGGCATCGTCATCATCGCTATTATTATTTTTTTTTTAACCTTCCTCCTTTTCCCATTTTGGATCTTAACCCTTTGATCTGTTTCCTTTAAAAGACTCTGATTCCCAACTCCCATCAGGGGGAGAGGGAGGAGAAATACAGGGGAGAAAAAAACCCCCTGAGCGAGTCCATGCTCTCAGCTGTTAGCCAGGTTGGTGGGGGACAAAAGTCCCTTTAAAATATTGAATGTCAGTTGCAAACCTAAGAAAAGAAAAATCCGATCCGGAGCGCTAAATTTAGGAGCTTTATATGGAACTTGGACTCTGCTGCTGGATTTTGTATGGATTTTTTTCAACCTTTGGTAAGTTTCGATTCACCTTCTGGGGTAAAAAGAAACAAACGGCTTTTAGGGGTGGTTAAGACTTTGGGCTGTAAATCCTACAATACCATGTTGGGGTTTTTTAACTGTCTGTGTCGTTTGTTTTTTGTTTTTTTTTTAACGAAGCGACAAGGACGTTGCATTTTCTCACTGGAGATTCCTAGAGTGCTGCCCTGTGGTTTTTTTTATCCCCGATTTTAAAAATCTGCTGTGGTTTATTATTTATCGCGCGTGCTGCGGGGAAGGGAGCCCAGCCGTTCACCCCCAGGCTCCCCCTTGCAGGGAGGACAGACCCCGGAGTCCGACTTTTTAGAGGCCGAAGCGGGGGGGGGGGGGAACGTCGCCAGAGGCTGCCGGCAGAGATGGCCGAGAATTGGAAGAACTGCTTCGAAGAGGAGCTCATCTGCCCCATTTGCCTGCACGTCTTCGTGGAGCCGGTCCAGCTGCCCTGCAAGCACAACTTCTGCCGGGGCTGCATCGGGGAGGCGTGGGCCAAGGAGTCGGGCTTGGTGCGGTGCCCGGAGTGCAACCAGGCCTACAACCAGAAGCCCAACCTGGAGAAGAACCTGAAGCTCACCAACATCGTGGAGAAGTTCAACTCCCTTAACCTGGAGAAGCCCCCCTCTGTCTTGCACTGCGTCTTTTGCCGCCGAGGCCCGCCACTGCCGGCTCAGAAGATCTGTTTGAGGTGCGAGGCCCCGTGTTGCCAGTCCCACGTCCAGACCCACCTCCAGCAACCCTCCACGGCCCGGGGCCATCTCCTGGTGGAGGCAGACGACGTCCGGGCCTGGAGCTGCCCCCAGCACAACGCTTACCGCCTGTACCACTGCGAGGCCGAGCAGGTGGCCGTCTGCCAGTTCTGCTGCTACTACAGCGGGGCCCACCAGGGACACTCGGTCTGCGACGTGGAGATCCGCCGCAATGAGATCAGGGTAAGTTGGACCTTTGTGGAGAGGTGGGTTTGTCCAGCTTGGGGGGGTTGCTGGTCTCCCTGGCTGCCCTCTTCCCCTGCTGTGTTTGTTCCCCAAAGGCCTGTGTTTGTGTAGGGCCTACACAAAATCCACCCCAATGCTGCTCCTTCTCCACCTGGTCCCCCTGTGGCGGACATGTTAGGTGGACGCCCCCGCTCTGCCGTGACGGAGTCTGTGGGCGCTGGGGGGAGCTCCCCAGGGAAGGGGGTCCGTACAGGAGGCCTTTGGAGTCGTTCAGCTGTAGGACCTGCAGCCGCTTGGGTCTGGGCTGCGCGGGGAAGGGTTGAGGTCTTGGGCCAGGGGGGTTCGGAGGGGCTGTCTCCCCAGTTCTTGCTGGGGTGCACAGCCGTTTAGGGGAAGGCAGAGGAACTGCCTGCGTCCGAGGTGAAGTCACCCTGAAATCAGACTCCCTGGGGGGATAAAGCGGCCGCAGATGCGGACCCCGTCCATTGTAAGGCCTGTGAATGTCAAACTGCCGGCTCTTCCCACTGCCTCCCGCCGGGGCCAGTGGCTGCCATCCCCTTCCCCCTGGCACTGGGAGAGCTTCATGTCAGAGACCCACGGCTTCTCTCTGGCAAACATTCACGCTTGGGGTTTGGCCAAATAATGGGGTTTTTATTATGGGGCACAGGGCTGCCCTCCCCCCCCTCCCTAAATCAGCTTGAGGCATAGCGCTGGATTTGAGGGAAAGCGAGTCTGTGTTTTGCTCGTGGCCAGACCATCTGGCGGGAGCTTTCACCCCTGGCTCCCCAGCCCGAAGTTCATGGTGGGCATTTAACAGCTCTGCAGGCAGCCCTGCCGTGACACCACCACCACCTTACCCCCCTTCCTAGGCCGCCCCTCCAACCCTTCGAAAGAGGCCCGGCGCTTGTCCACCGAATAAATATTTAACAATGAATTGAATGGTGATTACTGTAAAATGGGGATGATTTCCTGTGTATTTTAATGTTGCCAAAATGAGTCACCATTTAGCAATAAAAAAAAAGTCATAAATAAAAATTGCAGTATAATTACTTTCCAATTGGATGGCCAGGCCTGGGAGGGGGGGCGGCTCTGTGCAGAGAGGAGCCAGCCTGAGCTCACAGAAAGGTTATTTTCCTCTCCAGGTTTTTTTGGGGAAAACCAGAGACCTCCGTGGAGGTGCCAGCAGCTCTGCCACACGCACTGGAAGGGGAAAGACCCAGCCAGGCTTTTGGAGAAGCGCTTTTCTGCTTCTATTTATAGGGAGTCATTTTGGTCTCCCTGTGCCAGGGTGGGGAGCCACCCCAGGAGGGCTGCGCGGGGCTGGGACAGGGCTCGTGTGTGCATTTCCCAGGAGTCTTAGCCAGGGACCAAAACTATTTTTCCAGGTCCTTTTCCAGGATGCTTTGATCTCATCTATTCCCGCTCTTGCTGCGTGGGTTTTTTTTTGTTGTTGCTGCCGTTGTTATGGCTGGATGTTTGCTGCTCCTTGCGGATGCACGCTGTTAATGACCTGGCGGAAAGCTGCCACCGGCTAGGCTGGATTTTGGCCCTGGCGTGAAATTTTAGGATGTGTGGCCAGATACTGAACATGTTGGACGGCTGTGTTGTAGAGCCACAGACTTATTTTGTGACCTTGGCCAAATCCCTCGGTACCTCCATTGCCGCGTTATCTTAATTTCCTTTCTCTGCGATGATAAGCTTGTCTCTTCCCACTGGGCACGTGGCTCGGTTGGGTTCTCAGAGGCTGGGGCAACGGAGGACAGCCTGAAGCAGGGGGATGATGTGCCCAAAGGATCCCCTCTGCAGTTGAAGCAGTTCCTCTGTGAAGCGGCTGGAGTGGGGAAGAGCCCCCAGGAAAAACGCCTGACAGGTTGCTGGCCCATGTTGTGTGGCCTTGGGCAGGTCTCTGGCTGAAAGCCACCCCTTGCCATCCGGCAAGGAAGGCGGCCACCTCGGCTCCCGAATTAGGGTGCGTGTGCTCAGTCAGCGACGGCTTCTCGCCTGCGGGAGCCAGGCCCGGGATTCCTGGCTGCTTGCTCACCCCACGGCGGTGAGCCGCTCTTTGAGCATCCCAGGGAAGGAGAGCTGGGGGGCGGATGAGTAATGCTGGGCTTGGGAGGTCCGGGGGAGGCCCCGTCGTGTCGTGAGAGGTTTGTTCCATGCGTGGCTTGCATTTGGGAAGCTGTTACTTGAGAAATGAGTCAAAGTTTGGAGTCTGAGCCCTGTCCTTGGTGCGGGGAACTTGCGAGTATGTGTGGGTGCGACATCAACTCGGTGTGGCGGGGGTGGCCCAGAGGAGGGACGAAAGCCTGCAAACACCCTCCCTGTAAACCCACCTTTTTTAGCATTTATTACTCCGGCTCTGCTGCTGACCCATCTTGGAGGGCATCTTGCCCCTGATTACAGTCTGATTTGAAGGGGAAAAGGGGCTCAAAACTCCTTGGGGACAGCACCAGCGCTTTGTCAGCTGGCAGTTGGGGCAAGAGAGCTCGTGCTGGGCAAAAGGCTGGAGGCGGGTGTCTGCAGGAGGGAGGAGGGTGTCTGCCGAGGTGCGCGCTTAGTAGGTTTGGGGGAAGGGGACCGCTCGGCGTTAGGTGCCGCGCAAACATGCAGAGCCCTGGCTCAGAATTGGTTGGATTCCGTGGTGCAACTGTAATACAAACAGTAAATAAAATATGTGGTTAATCTTTCTTTCGTGGGCGTATAAAGCGCTTACCTCCCCTTCCCCCCTGTGAGATGTTTTCTCCTTTGTTTCCTGTTTTTGTAGTGCTTAAAGAGGAGAGGAAAAAAGAAAAAAGCCAACAACCCACCCTCTTTTTTTTTTTGCTTCTTGTCGTTTTGTTTGTGTCAAGGTCTCAAAACGAAACATTTTTTCTTCCATCTTTGCCCTTCTGCCCCAGCCACGTGCCTCCCGCCTGCGTGGGGGAACCTGCCGTCTCCCTGCCATGGGGAATCCTGCTTCCAGGGTTGAAAAAGAAAGTTGCTCCAGCATGAGGTTGATACGTTGCTTTTTTTTTTTTTAATCCTAAAAGAAGAAAAATACATTGCCAGGATTGGAGCACAGGTCAGACGGCAATAGCCAAAGAAGGGGACTGACTTGCGGGCTGTTACCCCGTTTGTCCCCTATTTGTGTGGAACATGGTTGATTGAGGCCAGGTACGGCTGAGCTTGCTTGGGGGTATCCCAGCAAGCTGGGATGTCCCTATCCTCAGATGGAGGTGCCACCAGTGGAAAAGGGCTTAGGTAGGGGCTTTGCTCCTGCTTTGTCTCAGGGAACGGAGGTAGATTTCTCTCTGACCTAGCTTGCAGCACATTTTTGGGAAATCAGGCTGCTGAGTCCATCTGCTCCTCGGTGGGTATGGGCTTTCTTTCGTGGCAGCACCCCAGATAAGCACAGCTCAGGTGCTTTCTTAAGTGTGGGAGAGAGGAGAGATGAGCACTTGGTAGGAGCACAGGAAGAGATGAATCCCAAGTCTGTATCAGAAACTTGTCCTTGGCCAGTGTTGGCTGCCAGCCCCAGTGCAGAGATGGCCCGTGTGCTTTTCCTACCTGCCCCAGCTGGTTACTTCTGCGATTCTAAAGCTCTAGGTCTCTACAGGGAAAATACCACGAGCTTTTCTTTGATAGATGGCTCTGATGCCAGAGACACCTTCCTGTTTGGAAACAAGTCCGATGTCCCATCCCCATGCTGCCATCCATGCCGGGGACGTTTTGCTGAGGCCTAGGGAGCCCCAGTGCTGGGAGGCTGGGGTCGGCTCCACTGCCGGGCTCCTGGCATGAGCTGCTGTAGGTTGTTTTACTCTGAAACAGGTTTGGTAACTTGCGATGAGCTGGATTTTTACAGGCTTACTTATTTTCCAGATGACTTGTTTATGAGGAGCGTGGCACGCAGCTCACTGGAGGCATTGTGAGTGCAAGTGCCCAAGTGTTGGAGTGTTAATTTAGCTCTCGTGACTGCAGATGGTGTGGGCTGATGCCTGGCAGGCATTCCCCACGGCGCTCTTTGAGCATACCTGGTCCAGAGACGACTTTGGCAGTAGGCCCTATGAAACCGGAGATGTACCGGTTCTCCCTGCACCCTCCATCTGAGCCTCCACCAGCACCCCAGAGGTGAACTGCCAGCTCCTTCCTCCTCCCCGGTCAGCCTAACCCCAGTCTCTCCCTCCCCTGGGTTTGCCTATACCCTGATTCCTGCCCAGGGGCCTCAGGGGTCCAGTGCAAGGCTCCTAAATGTGACTGATCATTGTGCCCTGGGATGCTGTCAGTTGGTCGAGCTGCCGTGATGAATAATGACTTCTTGGGCCTTGGGCAGTCACAGAAATCCCAGCACCCACCTAGCCTCACTTTCTAGCTCTGTGCCGCTCACCACCATCGATCTGTCAGGCTTTGCTGCACTGTATTGTCAGAGGCACCAGGGGATTTCAGTACAACTGATAGCAGTCTGTGGTGCCCTAGAGAGCCACCCTGCTGCAAACCCATCTGGATTTGCTGGCCAAGCAGCAGTGGCTATTTTGGCGGTCCCAGATCTTTGGCTGAACTGGGACAGTTTCCTGCCTTCCCGGGGTCTGGATGAAGGGCTTTTCCCCCGCTGCTTTCCTGCTAGGCTGGAGTGTTTTCCTCACCCTTAGCCCATCAGGTTGCTAGCGATTGCTTGCTTTAGACCTGCAGCTGCAAGTCTTCTGCATAGAGTCAATCTGAGAAGTGACAGCAGAGATGGAGGACACGGGGAGGCAGTCTGGTGGGTTTGGGTGGGAGGGAGGAGGCTTGCATGGAGGGGACAGCTTTCATAAAGGAGTAGGACAGTGGCTGCAGTGGAGAATGCTCTTTTCCCACAGGAGAAAACGCTGTGTGGACAGGTGGTGGGAAGAATGAGGTGGAAGGAGAAGAGGGAGAGAAAGGTTCGTCTGAGGACCTTGAGCTGCTTTGCAAGGAGCAGCAACAAATGACAGCCCAGGCATACCCCTGCGGTATAGAGGGGTTGGCTGCGCTTTGCAGTG